ATAAAAAGTAATTTAAGCTTGTGTTGTCAAAGAAATTATTTGCTTAGGCATGCTTTCCCCCCCTTGTTTTGAAGCTATATGCGTTGCCTACCTTACTGTGTTAGCAATTGATCACCACCTCAGGGTTTGGACCTTAGATGCAGGTTTGGCTGAAAACTTGTAACATTTGCTATTCAAATGAGCGACAGGCTTGTTTTCCCAAACCTGACCGATAAAGTATACGGCGCTGGCATGTGGTTTTCCCGAAGGCCACAGGTAAAAAATTTCTGAGTTTGTTTTATTTGGCCTCTTTGTTACTGCCCTGTAATAGAAATATGCAATCCCCACTGGCAAAGAAAATCCCTCAATACTTGGCTTAGAAAAGTAGATATTCACCATGAAAGTAAGTTGGGGACGCTGTGTGGCTCCTTGCGTTAGCTGATTCTGGGGCATTATGACTGTGACCAGGAACATCCTTTCCTCTATTGCATAAGATTTATTTCACACTGCGATTTAATTTCTCTGTATCCAGAGTCGGTCCAAAAAGAATTATTTTGGCTCATCTGCCAATGGCAGGTAAACTGAGAAAATTTACCAGCCCAAATGTTTTTTTTTACTTGCCATAAATTAGCATCATGCGTTATTTGACTAATAATAATTACCTCCCAAGTTTTCAGTATGCAAGGCCATCTCTAGCGTCACTTTAAAGTAGGGCTGCACAATGAATCGAAATGTTATCAAAATCACACTATGGCCAAGTGCAAATATCCAAATCACTACTTTAACATCCGATTTTATAACTTTTTTTTCTGAACATTTTCAAGAAAAAAAAAAACAGTGAAGCGCAACAATGTAATAGATCAACGTATACTGTTCCTGCACCTCATCATCAGATGTGTCTTTTTCCATCCCTGTTCTCAAAACCCTGCTCACTACCTGGTATGTGGGAGATAAGGAGACACTGACCACCGACAGACTGATGCCCCTCATCGTAGCAGGAACAGCCATATGGAGCTGGTAGGCAGAGCTTACCATCCATGAGCAGCTGCTGTCCAACTCTCCGTGTCTGCACTGGTCACACAGAGGGTCAGCTGGAACTTTGACCGTCAGTAGAAGCACATTCATTGTGCTTTTGTAAGAGTTTGTGTGGTACCTGTGTTGAGCTAGTGGCTCAGAGAGGCTCACCGGTGGGCATCTGCTGTAGCCCTGCTGTTTCATGTTATCACGTTAAAGTCTGTTGTTCCGGTTTTTATGCTTATATACTGATATGAAACATAACCAACCATGGAGGCACGGTTAGACAATTAAGCTGCTATGATTTGATTCACTGACCGTAATGTAAACCTGGCCCTGCTGTTTACCTGCTACCTGGCCGGTGACCCCAATTTATTTTTCTTACCAAATCCAAAATTTACCCGTATTTGTCGCTTGACGGGTGTTCATTTTGGACACTGTCTGCATTCGTATGGTCCTTTTTCTGGTTTTCAGGAATCGCTGAGTTGAAAGGTAAAGCGCATTTCTTGACAGGTTCTTGATTCTTATACAAAGTTCATCCCCACTTTTTCTTATCTAGAAACATTTGCTTTCTATAGAACTACTCATATTTACTGATCCTCAAAGTTTATGATTTCTTGCATTGGGTGATTGGCATTGGCTTTTTTTGTGGCTTTTTTCCTAAATAATGGGAAATTTCTTGTGACATCGGTGGAAATATCTACAGAAAGGCATTAGGTTCTGTTGTAACCTTTTCATATTCATATAAAGGCATTGTTGTACTATGCATTTTGGTTTTCTTCTCCATATAATCTAGTGTGAGTTTTGAGGCTGGTCTAAAGCACCTTAAAAACAGATTGAGCTCAGGCTCGATCCATATTCACACAGGCACATCACGTCACCCCCACACATCTTTCACTTTGTCTTTCACTGGGGGACCTCAAAGCACACTTAACTTTTTTTCCTTTGATAAAGAGTGCAAGACTGATATTTGAAAAACAACATAGGAGAGGAAGCCTATGTTTAAACTCCATGTTAACCAAGATACATTCCTTGAAAGAGACTGAGGAACTTGTCAGTTAAGTTATTCTGACACAAAGTACAACAAACTGCTGGCTGGTAAATACGAGCGTTTATTCTCCAGGATCTTTTAAACCACTAACAATTGAGCCTGCTGTTCGATGATTTTCATTAGTGCTGAGCTACAGTATGACAGGATGGACCCTCCTGTTCAACTAATAAAAACCAATGGATTCAATTTTTCGGTTAAATTTTATTTATATTGCGCCAAATCACAACAGTTATCTCACAGTGCTTTTCATAAAAGAGCAGGTCTAGACCGTACTCTGTGATGTTATTTACAGAAGCCCAACAGTTCCCACCAAGAGCAAGCACTAGGCGACAGAGGCAAGGAAAAACTTCCTTTTAAGAGGCAGAAACCTCGAGCAGAACCATGGCTCGGGGTGGGCGGCCATCTGCCTCGACCGGTTGGGGGGGGGGAGAGAGAGAAGGTAAGAGGAACAGAGGAAAAAGATCAGGTCAATTCGCAGGGCAGAATGGACATGAGCAGTGTTAACAAAGGATTCTGTGCCTACACTTGATAATATAGTCCTGTGCTAACGGTGGCCCATTCACACATTCAGCACCACTCCAAAACTGACATAGACAGGCTCATTTACATATAAAAGTAGTACCAGCATACCAGAATGCACCCTTGCTACATATTCATTGTTGTTTGATTATTTGTCTAACCAGTAGAGATGTAGAGACCCTTATTTCCAGAGCATGAAACTTCTTTTTCTTAAATCACAGACAACATTTATAGCATGAAAGAGCTTCAAATGATAGTTGGTACTTGTCAGCTGGGTGATAGAGTAGGCAAAATAACTGACATCAAGCAGAATTTACTAGAATGTGGCTGGAGTAAATCTTCCACTCTGGTTGGCTGTGGTAGACACTTGTTGTCTGTACAAAGTGCAATCAGTGTTCACTTGTAGCAAGTTTGTTATTCTGCATTTAACTCTTAACAGTGTTGTTTAGATTTTGACAATGTATAGCCTAAGCTTGGTTCTTAGCTGTGCTGTAAGTCAAATAAAGTCCAAAGATGATAACAGTGGGGTGTTGATGAAGGTTTGGAGGATGGATTCTTCTTCTCTTCTTTTACACCTCTGTTCATAACGCTGGTGTTAATGGTGTGTGTGTGTGTGTGTGTGTGTGTCAAACAGCTCACAGTGGTTATGTACTTGGTCGCTCCCTGAGCTTTAGTGTAATGTAGCCTAGCTGCAGCGTGTAAAATCACGTTACCTGTTATGAGTGATGACTCATGGGTGTTGCTGATGATGTAAAACAGGCAGAAACTTCGTAAGCAGGTTGGTTGGGAAATTACTATTTTGACTCGCAGATAACTGTTTTGCTCAAGTGCTGTATTCTTCAACATTACTAGGGTGATTGATAGTCCTGATCAGTTTCCATGTAAGAGTTTATTCTTTGCAGGAAACGCTCATAGCCTCAAATATGTAGCCTAGTTTGTATACCTTTCATGTGTTGTTTGACTTCCCTGTGTGTGTGTGTGTGTGTGTGTGTGTGGGGGGGGGGGGGGGGTATGGTGTTTGTTGTTTGTGTTTTTTTGTTTTTGTTTTTTTTCTCCCCCTGGTTTGAAATCCGTTTCGCATTTGTTTCTTTTCATATTTTTACTCGTACATAGTAAAGATTGAAAACACCCTTTTGTGTTGTGTATGTAATCTGAGAGGAGGCCGGGTGGTTGCTGCATAATCACACTCTGTCAACAGCCTTAAAATCATTGTTGTCACTGGCAGAGCCTAAAGCTGTCGACTTAAACCGGGAGGCGACACGCCTGGCTGATAATTTGCTGCTTTCCAGTTTCAAAGCACTATAGTTGCTCTATATTAACTGAGGTGCACAGTAGACCGAAGTCACGTTTTGTCAGGCTGACTGTCCCTAATCAATGCACACTTGCTCTGTCCAAATGCCCATGTTTTAATATTAAGTGACAGGATGGGTTTTTTTTGTTTGTGTTTTTTTTTTATTATGTGAAGTTTTTACCATTTATTTAAAAACTCATTAACAGACTTGTATTGTATCCTCTGGCAGTAAACATTTTATTTATTACATGCTCATGCGTTTGGTGGTATTTGTTTCTCTGGCATGAATCCATACATCTCCAGGTCTATCCTCAAATGGCGTTCTACTTTAATGTTTGCGCTGTACACTTTATGCTCAGCTGGACAGTAAGTGAAGAGAGGTGTGTTACGATAAGAGTTTCAAGCTGCAGTTTTATAGCAGTAGGTTATTTTTTTAATCCGAATTACAGTCTGTTTTACCTTCATGATATTCCTGAGAAGACTTTCATATTCTTTTCATGTGGTGGTAGTGAAATATAGTATGCTTTTGAGTCAAATACAAACGTTTCTGTTTGAATATTATATTTGCGGAGCCAACAACCATACAATGTGTAGTAAATAAACTTCTCAATGTATGTAAACATTGGAACATTATTTGCAGTAGAAGTAGGCTTCTGCACATTGGCTAGACTAGCCTAAGCCTATTAGGGACTACTTTCTCTACAGGTCACCTCTGTGCTCCCCTCTGTTGGGGTGTGGGTTTTTGCTAATTATGGTCCAATTTGTGGTTTTCTTTAAAAAAAAGTGAATAGTAGGTTGAGAGTAGATGATGGTAGCCTGACTGTATGATCCGTTGTGAATAGTTGGAAACTTGAACTAGTTGGTATTAATTTACGAACCAAGAAATCATAGCAGGAAGGAGAACTGAGGTGTTAATGCTTCTTAAGCTATGTTATGTCACTGTTTACCCAGAGTAAGTTTTAGGTAAATTCCTACAGACTCGTTAGGTGTTTCTTTCATGAACGTCCCACATTCATAATACACCCCCCCCCCCTTTTTTTTTTTTTAATAGCCATCCTTGGAAAGCCATGAGATAAGAAGTCTGTTTATTGTCTCTCCTCAGCGTGTGTTTATGTTGACTTGTTGTTGTTCTGTTTGTGTTATTAGCAACATGAACCGTGAGGACCGGAATGTGCTCCGAATGAAAGAAAGAGAAAGGAGAAATCAAGAAATCCAGCAGGGAGGAGGAGGAGAGGCCTTTCCAGCGAATTCCCCTCTCTTTCCTGAACCCTACAAAGTGGTAAATTTGTTAACCTCACATTCAGTTTTGACATTCAATTCATGAGTCAGTTTAGAGGAATTTGTAAAAGTGACAGGAAGCGAGGACTGCACTTACTACCTGGAGCATCCATGTCAATACAGTTTTGTCATCGCATTATTATTTTTTTTGAATCATCACACCTCTGCCTTCTGCTTGTTTAGCTTGAATGTTTAGCTTCAGGCTTCTATGGCAAAGGCGGAAACACTCTTTCTACACTTGTGTGTTCACGCGGGGGAAAAAAACCCTTTTTGTTTTGTGATGACCTTCTGGATCCTGCAGTCTTGGTTTGGTTTACGGTTTGTGTGACAAACGCTAAATAGGGCAAGATGTCTTTTTATACCCATGCGGGAGCTGTTTTATGTGACATGTCTCAATGAGCTCTACCGACAAGGACAGCCCTTCTTTTAATCGAGATGATCTCACACAAATTTCAAGACGTAATTGGCTGGATTTTGTGCAACACAGTATGTGGTTCTGTTAATAATAGGTATTAAAATCAATATCAGATGCTTTTCCAAACATTTGAGGCTTAACTGTCAGGTAACCATTGTTACTGTCCGCTATTGACTAACTCCACACAAAATACAAGAGTGTAGGTTGAATTGACAACACCTGTTGTGGAGTGCGACCAAAGTAGGTAAACATAAGAACACACTTCCCTCCCCCTTTCCTCCCTTGTCTTCCTCTTGTGCTTATAGACACACGCAGATGTAGGCCAGCCATCTCCTGCCCGGTCGGTCTAATTGTAAAGAGGATTTGAGTTCTCTGTACTGGTCTAATCTTTGCCGCTAACCAGATTTGAGCAGAGGTAAGTGGCTCCTCTCCTTAGCGAGAGCTAGCCATCAAAGAAGCAGTGAGGAATGTGTCCTGACAGGTTGGGAATAGATTGGGTACCAGAGGTAAATGATGAGTGCAGCCCTGTGTGTTTTGGACCACAACAAAGTGAAAGCTGAAGAAGGATAAGTCCTTGACCTTTGCACAGGAAAAAAAAATTTTGCAGTAAATAATGTTGTTGTGCATATTTGTCCTTCTGTCTTCATGAATGTGTGGGGGGGTTGCATGCAGTGCTATATTACAAAGAAATGCAGAAAAGCCAACTGTTTAAGTCACTGGCTTTTCTACACTTTGGATCTCTCATCTCCTGCTTGTCTGATCCTTATGTAAGCTTCAGTTTGACCCCCCCCCCCTTCTGTCATGCTCCAGTAAGTGGAAGTTTACTGTGTGCTGCATTAAAGGCCATGTGTGCACGCAGCTGCAGCTGTGGCCTCCCAGATGTAGACCAGCTAAGCAGTAACATTTTTATGGTGCAGAGTTCACGTACTTGTAACTTAGCTGCACAGCATGAAGAGCACAAAATGATCTGTTGAAAATTAGAGCCCCGCAATATTGGATTTTTGGGGGGTAACACAAGAATGAACTCTGATATATTTGGGTGATAAAGTACATACACATTATATAAATGCGTTGTTCCTTTGGTTTTAAATTAAGGATATATGATGATTAGGCCTGGAAATTAAACCAAATTCTGCCAAGATCTAACAAGTCCCAGAAACTAAGCAAAGGACTTAACTCTAAATCAAAAATCCATTAAGCACATTTGTCTGCATTTTGCTATCTAACAACCGCAAATATTAGGCAGCAGAATCAAATCTGATGGTGTAGTTTGTCGTTTTTGTGTGGGAAAAAGATTGCATCTGAAAGTTAGTAGACAGTTGGCAATCAGTGTTTTTTTTAATTTGTATTTCACAGTTGTGGAAATGCGCTGTTTGAAGTGATGTTGGAAAGCAGGAAAAAGCACTTTTTGTGGGGCAGAAACCAAAACTTAAGCAAGGTTTCGTCAAACATTGAGGTAAATGTTCACAAGTTTCTAAATGGGTTCCTGAGAAAGCTGCTGTGGACAAAAAGCTCTATTAAAAGGTTTCACACTTTTTTATATATATTTTTTTTACACACTTCACCCTCTACACACATGTGTGAGCCAGGCCATGCTAGCAGGAGGTGGAGGATTGCATGTTACAACCAAGCTAGTCCCACTTCCTGCTACAGATAAGGGCTTGTGTTTCTTCACCCTCGGTGTGAATCTGTCAAACAAAATAGAGGTCTGAGGCCGCGTGTGAAACTGAATACTCTGTACAGACTTTTGTCACGGGCTGATTGCATGCATGTCGGCTGGAATTCGTGGCCTCAAAGTGATTGATTGACCTCTGTGTTGGAACTATGGGTCGACTCTTATCTCTGTTCGCAGATGGGTGTGGAGTGGACTGACCTGGGCCCAGTTTGAACAAGCTAACTGGTGATTGGCTCATTAGACTGCTCTCGATTACTTTCTTAATGTTCAGTGAAATTTAAAAAGTAGGATTTAAATTGTTTCTTTTGTCAGATGAAAATGCATTTCAGTTATGCTCATTTTGCATATTTTAGTGACTAAGTGTTCTTTTTTGTTTTTTGTTTTTTAATAGAAGCGATAAATTTTCAAAGTGGTGTTTTTTTTGTTGTTGTTTTTTTTTATGGAAAGCAATTAACCCAAGTCTTGAACTTGTGCCCATAATGATTGTTTTCTCTCCCCCCTCTTCCCTTCTCTCTGCTCTCGCTGTTAATTTCTCTCTCATTTTCTTCTCAATGACTTCTCTCTCGTCTCTTCTTTCTCTGTGGCTTTCTTTTTTTGTATTTTGTCTTCATCCTCTGTCCTCTGCCCCACCTCTTCTTTCCCCGTTCTCTGCTTCTCTCTTCAGTCCAGCAAGGAAGATAAACTGTCCAGCCGTATTCAGAGCATGCTGGGCAATTACGACGAGATGAAAGAGCCGATTGGTGACACACTTCCAAAGCTTGGCGGTAAACCTTCTAACAGCTCGTCTTCCTCCGAGGAGAAATCGGGCCCACCTTTGTTTGGCGGGGATCAGCGTGGTGTGGGTAGCGGTGGCAGCAGCCAGAGCAGTAAGTGGACTCCCGTGGGCCCTGCAGCAGGTGGATCTTCATCCGGGTCCCAGAAACGCTCAGGACTCCAGGGCGGGCACGGCAGCCAGAGGGGCAACGGAGGCAGCAGTGGCAGCAGCAGTAGCCAAAGACACGGAGGGGAGGTGCGGGAAAAGAAGTCTAGTAAACACAGTGGAGGTTCAGAGCACTCAAAGTCACACACATCGAGTCCGGCCAAGGGCTCGCTGAGTTCCTCCAGCAGCAACAGCCACTTGAGAAGCTCCTTGTCTGCCGAGCAGCATCACAGCAAGGAGCGCTATCGCTCCAAGTCCCCGCGAGACAAAGAGGCCAACTGGGACTCACCCTCACGGGTTCACACCTCCTTCCCCAGTGGACAGCACTCGAGTCAGACTTTTCCCCCATCTCTCATGTCCAAGATCGGCTCCATGCAGCAGAAGCCCACAGCGTATGTGCGGCCTATGGACGGCCAGGAAACGGCAGAAACAAAGAGCTCACAAGCAGAAAGCTACAGTGGACAGTCGCACAGCAGCACCATGGGAGAGATGAAGTCCAACAGCAAGGCCTCACTTTCCAAACTTAAGATCCCCTCACAGCCTGTAGAGGTAAGACATGTCTACAAGCTTTCTGTTACACTGTACTCTATATATATATATATATATATATATATATATATATATATATATATATATATATATATATATATATATATATATATATATATATATATATATATATATATATATATATATATATATATATATATATATATATATATATATATATATATATATATATATATATATATATATATATATATCGCCGTTAATCTATTCTCAAAGGGACGATTGAAACAGGTGTTTCATTCGTCCCGAAACGCAGCCATTCTACCTTATTTAGATACGGCGGGAGGGGGGCAGAGTCCATAGGTTGCAGACTGGACCACCAGGATGCTCACAGCCAAATAACAGGATCTTCACAGTAGACCAGGAAAACAGGCTGCAGATGTAGGCCTACTACGCAAGCTATGATGACTTTCACCTTGATATTTTAGCGCAGATGTATACCTAGCCGAATTGCACTGTAGGGGGCGAGAACGAGTCTTCGAACCTGTGTGTGTGCCTACTGTGAAATTACCACATCAAATGTGACGTGCTAACATGGATGCAGCTATGAAGCCGCCGCAGTTTTTGATGCATTTTGGAAACAGGAGATGAGCCCCTGGTCTAATGCGCCACCTGGCTTGATAAACCCGTTCTCAAAGACTTACTTTTAGTCATTATTTGGGTAGCACACATATTCTGATTGCCTTCGGCAGAATTCAAATGAGCCATTTTAATCTAGATTAATTCCAAGATTACAGTGACCATTAATCTAGATTAAAAAAATTAATCTATGCCCACCACTTATATAAATTACCCCACAGCATGTTACACTTGGTCTGACTGAACTTGTAGGTCTCATAAAATGCCTATAGAATGACTCATGCTACCCAAAATGGACGCCGCCGTTCACCTGCTGCACTGACATAATGTTGTTGTTTTGAACATGTGCTAAACTTGACATTTCTGCCTTTAGGGATCCGGCGACGCCAACTGTGTCGATGAGATTCTTAAGGTTTGTAATTGTATTTTGCTAAAAAAAAATTCCCTCTTTCTGAGGCTAACAGTTCATTATGAGTACTCAGAGAAAAGCTACTGCCTCGAGTCAGTGGAAGAGAATTTTGCATTACTCACACCTTACAACTAATTTGGTGTGTGTGTGTGTGTGTGTGTGTGTGTGTGTGTGTGTGTGTGTGTGTGGTGTTTTTTTTTTCCTTTTTTTTTTTCCTTTCAGGAAATGACTCAGTCATGGCCCCCGCCGCTGACAGCCATCCACACCCCCTGCAAAACAGAGCCCTCCAAGTTTCCATTCCCTACCAAGGTCAGCATTGCACCAGTCCCTGTGTTTACTGAGAGATTCAATTATGTTTCATCATGAATTAAGAAGCCATAATTATTTGTTTATTACTTTTGTATGGTTTCTTTTGGTAGACAAAGGGCTGTTGTCTCCACTCAGTGACCCTAACACAAGACACACAACCAGTAGAGAGAAACTTTGTCTGTGGCTGTTGAAACTATAAAGTGATGGGACTCACCATTAATAAATATTTAATCAGATGGAAAGTTCTAGTAGTTTTCAGTCGGTTTTGGTGTTTATTTCGCATAGAGCTTGCATGTAAATATAAACCAGGAAAAAAATCATTTTCATTGATTTTGTTTTTCAAATTTGACATACGCATGTTATGGGAAAGGATGAAATAACAAACAGGGTCATGAAAAATATTTAGCAATTGTCTTTCTCTTTCACCCCAGGACTCTCACCCTTTTCCAAGTGGATACAGTGAGTATCTCACACATTTCAGATTCAAACCTAAACATATAATCGTTACAAAAACAATAGTCAATACATACATTTCTGATATGTATGTTTTTAATATGTACTTAATGTTCATGAGTCTTGTGGTTTGTTTTTTTTTTTGTTTGTTTTTTTAGAGCGAGGCAGTTCTTCCAAGAGCTCCAGCAGCCACCAGCCCAAAGCTTGCGATGACCAGCCCACGTAAGAGCTTCATTCTTTCCTCTCGTCGTCCTTTCTCATCTTTAGCCCATGTTTGTAGTCTTGCCCGTGGCTTTAGCCCCGTATTGAGCAAGACAACGGAGAGCAGGATAATAAAACAAATATTTGTGATGAGTTAAGAAACCTAAAGTAACCAGACATGACATAGATGGCCTCAGCCATGTAGAGCCAGCAATTACACTGCTCTAATAAAGATTGTATTCCTGTATCTCAGTATGCTGGAAGATGACCTGAAGCTAAGCAGCAGCGAGGACAGTGATGGTGAACAGGACTCAGCCAAGAATGCCTCAAGGAACACATCAGCAAGGTAAAATCACAAAGCAGAGGGAATTGGGTGTTTATATTATGTTCCTTATCGTGAAAGACACGGTGCACAAGTTCGTTAACGTTCTAGCATGAATCTTTGGACACATTATGTCCACACCTTTCCCAAGGCCAACAGTGGGGGTTAGCAGTGACAAGGACTGCAGTGTGCGGCAAATTACAAATTGAGAATGGAACCATTTGGAAAACTATTAGCTATATGTGGAGATGAGGGCTGGGCTGTAAAACACTAATGATAATTATTGCAATATAATTTTCCTCTAACAGTAGAACAAAAAGTTCCTTAAATGTTTGATTTAATTCTTTTGAATCATGAATGAATTAGCACTAGCAGATTTTAATTTTGTTGAGGAAAGGGGCCTGAAAAAGGATTTTACTTAATTTTACTAATGCATTGTTCAAAAAAGATTTTATCATAATTGTTTGTCATGTTCTGACCATAAGAATAGTTTAAAACCACAATTAAATCTGCTCCTGAGTGAAAGAAATATTATATAATAACATTTATCGTGATAATAATCGATATCAAATGTTTTTTTCGTGATAACATTTTTGGCACACAGTGGTGATTAAGAATTATCCTCAGCTATAAATCTCTTTCTGTCCATTTACCAGAGATAAACGTGTTGAACAACTTGAGATTTTTTTACTTTGTAGACAATATTTTAAACCCGGGACATGATGCAGTTGTTTGTATGCATCCTCCAACGCGTAAAGCTTGACTGAACGTGTGGTGGGCACCTTACGCGCACAATATAATTCTGTTTGACTCTCTTCTGTATCAACAGCAATAACAGTGAAGGAGCGGAGCAATCGAGGGATGACTCGAGCAGCCACAGCGGCTCAGAGAGCAGCTCGGGCTCCGACAGTGAGAGCGAAAGCAGCACGACAGACAGCGAAGCCAATGAGCAGCCGCGGCCGGCCTCTCCTGAGGTAATGACTTCAGTCGCTTCGTACAAACTGTGGAGCTACTCAGTGGTGATGATGATCTGACCACTCTTATTTTATGTTGGGATAGTTGCAATACTTTGATCTTTCTTCTTGATCTGATCTTCTCTTTTTTTAGACATTGTTTTATGGTTTACCAGATTTCATACATTATCATTTCAGCTCACTAAGACAATTTCTAACATCTGCGTGTTCTCCCGCTCCCCTTCAGCCCGAACAACCCATGGCCAACAAGTGGCAGCTGGACAATTGGTTCAAGAAGGCCAAGCAGTTCTCCCCAGCCTCTCCAGTGGACAATAATGTTCCAACCAAGTGCAAGAAAGAGGGCAGAGATAACGGGTCAGGGCGCAGCTATGGTAGCCAGGGAGGGGGATCAAAAGACTCAACGGCACCCACCCCAAGCAGGGACTTACGGGCAGCGCAAAAGGGTGCAGAAGGTGGCCGTGGTCGCCAAAAATCCCCCGCCCAGAGTGATGGTGGCACAAATCCGCGAAGAAGTGTGGGTAAAAAACAGCCTAAAAAGTCTGAGAAACCCCCAGTGGTGGAGGAACCTAAGGGAGGTCTGAGAGTGGAGAGTGAGCCGGCTCCCGAGATACCACCTCATCGGCCCAAAGCTGCTACTAAGGGTTCCCGCAAACCAAGCATTAAAAAAGAACCTAAATCCTCTCCAAGGCCCACCGTGCCGGCTGTCACGGCCACTGCAGATAAACGCAAGGCCAAGGCACCCACCAAGACTTCCCAGAAGTCTCGTGAGTTTGTTGATACAGACTCCTCATCGTCAGACTCTGAGGGGAATGACAGCATTCCGTCCTCGTCACAGACACCCAAGTACACAGAGAGCATCAGGACCCCCGTGTGTGTGTTTTCTCCAATGGAAGACAAAGAGCTGTTGTCTCCACTCAGCGACCCTGAGGAGCGCTACCCCGCAAGGCAGCCTCAGCAGCAGGTTTTACTAGTAAAGATAGGTTAGTTGAAGCTACTCATAAGGTGTAGAAGTCTAACAGAATTTCTCACTGTGTTGTGTGCACTTGTTTTACACTAGCTGGACTGCACACTTTTGAAGCTTTTCTTTACTTTGGACCAAATCAAACCCTACCCTTTCCTTCCCATTTCCTATAGATCTCAGCCTGCTGTCTAGGATCCCAGGGCGGCCCTACAAGGAGCCTGTAGAGATAAAAGTGGAGAGGGACGACTCTCTAGACCAGGACAGCAAAGACTTCAGCAAGCAGACCACTGAGAAGAGCTCTAGTAAGGCCAAGAGGAAACACAAGGTATGGTATTGATTGAGAAATTTCCTGTTTGTGTTCTGTTTTTTTTATTCTAGTCCTGTTGAATACATTTTCTTTATTATTGCTTTAAAAGTGGTCTTCTCACTTAAAATTCATATATATTTTTTAAATTATTTATACGCCCACCCCACCTTCTGAACATTAGAGGGTTATGTTCAGTATGATCTTGCACACTGAATGACGATTTAAAGCTTTTTTTTTTTTGTTGTTCCTTTCCTCAGGGAAGTTATGATCATTCCATTTTAGTTAGCGTCCCAACAGGATACCGTATCTCTTTAGATAACCTCCAAACAGATTTCCATTAAAGCAAGAAAATGGCTTTAAACATTTGATAAACAATTGATAAAATTGTGGTGGAGATCCAGATCTGCCAGATCTGGGATTTATGCCATTGGGAGATTACTTTTTCTTTTGGGGAGGGGGGTTATAGCTGTGAAAGTACCAGTGAAAGACACTTACATAAGTGATATCTTAGGCCCCATCCACAGTACTATGTTTTTGTTTTAAAACACAGACCTTTTGCTACGTTTGCACCTCCGTCCAGACTGAAAGGGCAGAAACGGAGAAGTTTTAAAATGCTGCCAACCCCATTTTTTGTTTTAAAACTCTGGGTAGCGTTTTAGTGCGGACGGGCAAAAACAGAGGACTTTAGAAACAACGACGCAAACATTCGTGATTGGGTCTCATAAGTTATGCAAAGTAGAAACATGATGTATCGTGCTGATAACACTTATAACCTACACTTGTACTGTGAATACTTTGCGACGACTTCCAGTCTGTTTTCCGCCTTCACAGCCTTTTAACTCCCATGTACATTCTGTAACCGTCCCAGGTCGTTATTAGTCCATGCAAAATAAAATCTGGTGTAGTTCTTCGTCTGTAGTACTTTATTCTTTCGCCAAATCTTTTGTAACTACGGAAGAGACCACCTGCTTCATGTTTACACCAGCATGCCCAGTGTACGAGAATGTAGACGGAGATCAACTCTGATACGCAGCTAAAACACTGGTGTGGAGGGAGATCGTATTTGTTTTAAAACTCTGTTTTTAAATAGAAACGGAGTAGTGTAGATGGGGCTTTAGAGTGTAAGAGTGAGTTGGAAAACCATTAAGCATTGGCAGAAGTTTGTACTGCACCATGTAAGTCTTCAAGTGCTTGGCTGCAAATGTCTTTGCCTTCAAATCCCTTACAGAGGCACGTACGCACACCAATAAATCATCTGATGTGTCTTTGCGTTGAATTTTCTGCGATCTTTCTATCTTCAGAACGACGAAGAAGGCACAAAGCCAGAGAGCAAGCGATGCAAGCTGGAGAAGTCCCTGTCTCATCATAAAAACAGCAGTAAAGAGTGTGTATTCTTCCTTTTTTTCCCCCTCATTATCATTCACAGTAAAGCCTCTGCACACTGGGAACACTTGGCACAGTTGGTGTGCAGCAGTATGTCTTCGTTCTCTACAGGCAAAAAGAAGCTTGCCAGATGTCTTTTTATCTATTCTTACAATTCACAAAATAAATCCTATAAACTCTAATGAGCATCATAAAATCAAAGCGATAGCTCAGTAATGTTACATTGTAGCCTCTTCAAACTACACCTGTTAACCTTTATTCCAATGACACATTATATATCCTTAGTATTGAATTACCTGGAATGTTAATATGTAATATTAATATTTTGTGATGTGAAGGACAGCACTGCTGCAAAACGGCCCGATTCCAATAATTAGTTAATAAAAATAAAAAAAATATAGAAGTATCACAATGACCATCCATATCCCACCAGGTCTAAGAGATCTTTGGAGAAGAAAGAAGAGCCAGTCCCCTCTCCTTCCATGTCAGGCCTTCAGCGGACGCCCAAGGCAGAGCACCCAAGTCGGAAGAGGACAGTCAGCCAGTCCTCTACCTCTTTGTCCAGTGGGACAGGAAGTGGAAAGGAGGGAAGCCACAGCACCAAAGGCAACTCTACCTCCAAACACAGAAAAGGAGAGGAAAAGGGACGCAGCACACGAGATGGCAAGGTGGGTGTGAGTAACATGACCACCGGGCATTTGAAACCCTGGCAAGTACTGTGGATACTGGGAAGTGCGAGTACAATCTATCTAATGTCATTTTTTCAGCGTTTCCCCCCAGGGAACTTGAATAAAACAAAGTTGTTGTTGCGGGGAGAAGGGGAGTGGTTGAGAAGATAGCTGGTTGGTTTTACTCTCCGTGTGTACTTTGTGTGTATGCAGAACATTAGGGTATGCGTATATTAAAAATTGAGTCACGAATCAGTCAAGTGCTTACACTTTGTTTGTCTAACTAGCAGTTAATTAGTAAATTATTTTTGTATATGCCCAATATTCGCAAAGCAATTAAAAAAGAGGCTCCCTCAATCTCACGCTTTTTTCCCCATTTTATCCTCCACTTCAAACACCAGGCCCCTTTTTTCCTGAAACTTTATTCCCTCTCGTTTGCTGTCTCTGCAGGAGAAATCCTCAAAGGGCTGTGATAACCAGCTGGCTGTGCCTCCGCTCTCCACGGACGGCTCTAAGTCTCAGAGATCCAAGCTGGTGTTTGAGGACAGGTAAGAGGAGCTCTTTCCACTGTGGATAACCCCTCAGCAGGATATGCAGAAAGAACTGCTGTGGAGATCTAGGGTTGCCTTTGATGCATAAAGCTGTAGGAGATTTGAGGAGGTCATGAATAGATGTGCCCGCATGCAGCACAGATGACGTAAATATCCCTTTTTAAGGGCTCTTTGTAGGAACTCTCTATCCTTTTTAAAATCGAGGTAGTCTTGCTTCTTATTTGTGTCTTTTTGTTTCAGGGTTTGATTTAACAGAAGAAAGGGATTTTAGAGAATGTTTTACATTTTACATTACGTTTCCAGGTTCTGTGCTTGCCATGACATGAGTTGTAAAAATATCTGTTAAATGAATCAGAGAAGGAATCAAAATTTGTTTGACCTGTTAATAATTCTTTTGTTTTAGGGTCCATTCAGCAGATCACTACTTACAAGAAGCCAAGAAACTTAAACACAATGCTGATGCACTGGTAAGCGAAAGCTCCTAATGATGATTTACATGTGTACCGTAAAACTTCAATTAATAGCCATGTCCCAAATAGCCGCCTACCTCCTTTTTCTGGCCTGGTGCGGGAACACATTTTGACAGATAAATGCAGGTCTCCATTAAACGTCTGGTCTGGTTTTTATATAAGTTCTTTGGATGTATAAAACCTCTTAAACCCTGCGGGTTCGCCTGCTTTAGCCACTTCTAAGCTGCTTAGTTCATTAATAAAAATATTAATGTTTAAATGTATGATCAATAAATCAATATGAATATGCTACACATGATTAGATCGGTTAGATTCTCCACAATTCAATCGTTCAGTTGATTTAACGGAAACAACAAGCCCCGAAGTCTAATTATTACAAATTTACCATTGTAACCGGCATGGTACAAGAGATGAAAAGAAAAGTGCCGACTCCTGTTACCTTTGAAGCGCTTGTTATGTCTGAATCTGTCCGTTCCTGATTATTTATATTCCTTTAGTCTGTAAGGGTCCACCGATCAAAAGAATCAAAACAGCTTTTCATAAAAATCAATCCAAGTTGTGAATCCTGTCATGTGAAGTCGCAGACAGACATCACTCTCTGTCTGCTAACTTCTGCTACACTTGTCATCCTGCACCGTGTTGTTGTTTTTGTTAACGTTGCTGCCTTCAAAATAAAAGCGTACAAGCAGTCTGTCGGAGCTATATCAAATGAATGAAGTGTATTTTATATTAATGGATCATTTTTATACAAGTAATTTGTTTGAAATGACTAAACTGTTTCATAGTAGCCTATTTCAGTTTGGTGCTAGAGGAATTAAAGGCCTGTCCCATATGGACGCCTGTCCCAAATATAGGCAGGGTCAATTCATTGATTTTAGCAAATAAAAGCCTGGGCTATTAATCAAAGTTTTACGGTAATTGAGATCTCAGTGTCTGTTGATGCATTTCTATTTAACATTCACACATTCTTCCTGCTAAAATTCATGTGACTGTATAGTATTTATTGTGTTGACTGGGAAATTGACCTCAGACTCAAAAGTTTCCAAAGCCCTTTTTTTTCTGTGATCTCTCAGGTTTTGAGCATGATGTCCAAAAAAAACAAAAAACAAAACATAAATGCTTTTGTTACCGGGTCGCTGAAAGATGAACAGGTGGCTATGTTTAACTGCAGGTTACAACTTGACTCTGCTGCATGTTATTCCTGCTCAAAATCCTTGAAAAATTATTTTGTTGCTGCTGTCTGCATTTCTAAAGAATTTAAGTACAAAACAACAGAAAAAAACACAAACTCAAGACAAACCAACCACTGATGCAAACAAAGAAAAGCACACACACTTGCAGGGAATTAAGCCATAACTTTTGTTTTTTAAAAATGGATATTTTACAATATCCATCGTGGACATGCTTTTCAATTTCACTATAATGCACGTGGATTACAATTCATCAACCCACATCTGTATTATGTTATAAATTCCATACAAAGGCCAAAACATACATCATTAACTGCTGCTGCTGTTATTTCATGAAAAGAGTTTATGTAATCCACACCAAGTCATATATAAGCCATGTCCGTTATGTAACATACACGGTCAAGCCAAAACCTTGTAAATTTAAACAATAATACATGCTCACTAACACACAATGCGTCTCCAGCAGTGATTTTATTTTTGCTCTGCCCATGTTCCCTCTTTTGAAGTTGGATCGTTTCGAGAAGGCCGTTTACTACCTGGACGCCGTGGTGTCTTTTATTGAATGTGGTAATGCCCTGGAGAAGAGCGCCCAAGAGGCCAAGTCTCCATTCCCCATGTATGCTGAAACGGTGGAGCTTATTAAGTAAGGACAAACATAAATACCTTCATTACTGCCACAGAATTGCAATTCAACGGGGGTGTCTGTGAAAATTCTCCAGTTCGTGGTCATCCAATGAAGTTTAAATCGAGGGCAACTGGACTTAGATACTTAATGGAAGATACTTGAAGACGTTTCACCTCATCCGAGAGGTTTCTTCAGTACTGAAGAGGCAAAACGTCTTCAAGTTCCTTCAACCAAATCCTGTTGCCCTTGATGTAACATTCCTTGGATAATTTAATCTTACATGTCAAAGTTGTACAACTGCAAATGTTAAAAAATGTGGCGTAAAAAGGGGCTGAAGTCTTTGTTGAACTTAAACACTTGATAAAGAAAGACTTAAACATTTGTTCTCTGTGTGTTTAGATACACTATGAAGTTAAAAAGCTATATGGCCCCAGATGCTACTTCAGCTGACAAGAGGCTAGCTGTGCTCTGGTAAGTATGCTAACTGACATCCATGGTGATGGACATCCATTTCGTGTTCAAGAGGTGTCGTCCTGTCATTAAGCCTTCAACTCAAAGCACTCAAAATCCTAGCTATTTGATGGAGAGTTGTATATTCAAGTAGCACACATATTGCTAGTTTTTGTTTTCTTTTTAAGATCAACATTAACCCATTTCTCTTTCCAGCCTACGATGCCAGTCTCTCCTCTACCTGCGGTTATTCAAGCTGAGGAAAGACAGTGCACTAAAATACTCCAAAACACTCACCGAACACTTAAAGGTACTTTTGTTTTCCAGAATCTGAAGTCAGGTTTTGCTCCGCAAAGGAGGAAATAAATTCCGTGTATGTAGTTTTTATCTTCTTTGTATGACTGTGTAACTGCTTCCTGTCTGTGTACATAATGATGTTCTTTTGATACAGAATTCTCTGAGTAACACCCAGGCTCCCTCTCCTGGAATGGGAAAGTAAGTCATGTCCTTTTCTGCTGTTGAGAGATTAAAAGTAATTGTAGAGACGTTTGACATTTACTCAGAGTATTGAATGTTGAGGAAAAAGTATGGCAAAATAGTTTAACGCTAAAACGTTGAGAAAACAATTACAAATACTGCTTTTGCAGTGTTAGTTTTTTAATATCGGCTTTATTGTATTTTCACCTGTTTTTTTACATCTTGTGAAGAAAAGTGTGAAGCTGTTGAGTCATACTGGGCAGCAGCTACATAAAGTCTGCTGTCATTAATGATTAACCAAGTTCTTCTAAACCAGTACCAGCACACTCATTACCATGTCTGCCTGTTTCTGTTGAAAACACAGCAAGGCAGCAGGTATGCCCTCTCCAGTGTCTCCCAAACTGTCACCTGGCACGGCCGGTGGCTACTCGTCAGTCAGCAGCAGCAGCAGCACCAGCTCGTCTGTGACCATACCTCAGCGTATCCACCAGATGGCTGCCAGCTACGTCCAGGTCACCTCCAACTTCCTGTACGCCACCGAGGTCTGGGACCAGGCTGAGCAACTGTCCAAGGAGCAGAAAGGTACTAAAGTTCTTGATATACCAAAGCAAATTCCTTTAATGTGTACTTGGCAATAAACGTGATACTGAGAAAGTAAGTGTGTTAGTTTTATTTTGTAGTCAAGTCATCCCTCCAACCTGTATTATTTTAGCCTTTGAAAACATAGTCTACAGTCTTGTTCTGTATAATGACTAATAAACAACCTTGTACATAGCTGAAGCATGGCAGTACACCTACTAGGGTCACTTAATATTTTAGCATTATCGTTTGCTTTTTATCACTTGAGTAAGAGATTTTTTTTTTTGTTTGTTTCTAACAACTTGTTGTACTGTTCCACCATTGTGCAGGCTAATGTGAATAGATAGAAAGTAGCCTAAAACCCCAGCACTTTTAGTTTTAAAATTGAGTACAGACTGACTATTTAATCGAGACTGTAGTTGAGTGTCTTCCCTTGTTATCTTTCAACTGTACACTGTCTAATAAAGTAAGAATGAACTAAATTGTTTGTAGTCATGAGCACTTAAGAGCTGAAACAATTAGTTCAACAGGAACTTTACAACAATTTTTATAGCTGATTAATTGTTTAAAAGTCATATAAAACAACAATATCAGATATGCTCTAATTCTTAAATGTTAGAATTTATGGAAATGTGCTGTTTTTTCCTGTTCTACTAATGTAAATTTGGGTTTTTGACTGTTGGTCATAAACATTAAGACATCATCTTAGGCTCTCGGATATTGTTTTTAAACTATTTTCATTTTCTGTCCTTTTGTGAACGCATAAAGTGATCTTGCTTATCCCACGTTGAACCTTATATCATTGGCTTTTAAACTGACGCTGTGTCTTTGTTTTCCCAGAGTTCTTCTTGGAGTTGGACAAGGTGATGGGTCCTCTGATCTTCAACACCAGCAGCATGACAGAACTGGTGCGTTACACACGCCAGGGCCTCCACTGGCTGCGCCTGGACGCAAAGCTTATTCCCTAGCGAGGAATCGCTGCCTGCGCACTGCTTCCACTCTCACACACCCACCCCTGCCCCCCTCCCACAAACACAGCCACACCTCAGCCTCTTGTGTTCAGCAACATGTGCTCAAAGACACAAGTATGCCCTCACAGACAGACAGACACACAATTATGTACTGTATGCACACACAGTCCACCTCTGGTCCTCCATGTACACACAGACACACACACACGATGAACTTCTCAGACATATTTTCAACACTGTGTCCATTTCCTACACCAGCTTGCCAAAAACACTGAGCAATTTAGAGCATCTCACAACGTCGACAGCACCACACAGGGAGAAGCATCAGAACTGCAGCACAGGAACAAAAAAAAGCTTATTGCCGCGCGTCATATATCGGCATTCTTACAAAATCTTTGAAGGCCATGTTTCTATCTATTTGGCATGGAAGTGCTGGGTGAATTATTTGATGAATACACTTAAAAATGCGTTTTTTTGTTGGTTTTTTTTAGGCTACTTTGGCTTTTAACTTTTTCTTTTACTTTGTTTCACCAAAGTACCTCCCATAAACACCAAAGGTGCTTTAAAACGAAGGTTTCTCTTTATCATTTGTGTGCCTTGTATGTGAGCTACAGGAAAACAAACACATCATATCTGAATAATTGTTTTATTTTCCCTGTATTTTTTTTTCTGTCGCTGAAACTCATCTAATGCATTTTTAAACATTTAGCAGTTAATGGAATCTGGACAACAATTGTTTTTTTATTTCAGTTTTAAGTCAGGTCCTGTCTAAGCATTTGACAATTTAGACATTAGATGAGCAAGATGAGCTGCTATGTTACGCCATCTTGATTTTGATCTTTCCTTCAATGTCTATTCGCGAAAGGTTAATCGTGGAGCATGCCCACATGATTTAAAGACTGTAGGAAGGGCTACTGTGCACAGCAGATTAATACTTCTGACACACACACATTTCCAGAGGCATGAGCTTCTTTCAGTCCTGCTAGAAAATCAAATTTTGGTGAGTTTGTTCAAACCACTCTGGTCCGGTTTGATGCAAGGAGCAGCATAGTCTCTAGGGGCTGCTAGAGAAGGGATTTTAATCTCTTGGACTTAATAATAAAATTGATCATATTAACGTTCTCTCTAAGAGATTTGCTGTCTTTGAAGCTCCAGAGTACAAGTCTCTTCCTATGAAATGTTTTTACACATTGTTTGCTGAGAAGTTTTCTCTAGGATGAGTCACTTCCAGACAGTGTTATTCTTTTTTTGATCCCCTTGTTTGCTGAGAGTGTATTTTTCTATGGATCAGCAGGGAGTGTCTTAAGTATTGAAGTCGTCTCCTCGTATACAATGCAGTTATTCACATTGCAGTTTATAAAAGCTGGGCCTGAGTGACCACTAATTTGGCACAACAAAAGCAAATTTGTCTGAAAGGAAAGTTCTTTAGAGAGTTAGTCATCAATGATGCAGATTAGCAGTGTTGCATTTATAGAACAGAGTTTAAATCTATGATTATATATTTCAAAAAAAGAAGTATAACGGCCAATAAAGATTTTATTTATATACCAAGCTCTTTTTTTTTTTTTCCTCCTTTTTTGGCCAAGAAGTATAACTTTTCAAATGCATACTTGTAAAACAGGGTTGAACAAGGGTTATAAGATGCAAAGTATTTGTATATCTAACTGTTCCTATTTAAATTTTAAAATCTTAATCATTCTTACATTACACGACGTAGCTAAGATATGTGTTAGCCACGTGTTGTTAATGTGGTACAGGAGGCGGGGTAAAGACGACAGAGTAACGGCATGTGCCAGCTGTCCAGATATGAACATTTCTGTTGGATATTTAATATTACTGGTTGTCATGAAGGGAAATGTGGATGGCCGTGGTTTTGAATGAAGATGTTAACATTTCACCCAAGATTTCAGTTGACATTTGGGTGTTAATCTTCAGTGTCATGAAGGACTATGCTTTTTTTGTCTGCATTTTTATTTTATTTTTTTTAGCACACTTCCCACTAAAACATGCTGGAAATATTTAAAACCTGGGCCAAATAGCATTCATGGAAACTTTTTATTGGTTGATTTTTGTTTTAATTTATGGCCAATGAGTTTGCTAAAGCGTAGAAGTACCAGAAAATTCATGACTTTTGGTAGTCTGTAACTTTCTGGCACTTTTCTACTATTTTCAAATAGAAGTTTGGTGTATTGTCCATCTTAAACTTTTTTTAATCTCAAGACAAATCTTAAGAATTACTATTTGGCCCATGTTTGACCTTTTTGTGTGTTTTCTGTATTTTATTTTTTTCCTTCACTGGCTCCCTGGCCTTTATTGTAGGAGGGGATACTGTTATTTCCTCTTGCACTTGAAAAAAGAGAAAGTCAGCGGAGGTATTATTTTAATCTATGCAGGATTTTTACAAAAAAGATCTGATTTTTAGGCTTGGGACCCCCCCCCCCTCCCCCGCCTCAGTGAGAAACCTGTTTAACTCAAGTGTCCAATGCCTTTAGCTTTTGCAATTTTGTGTACTGGTTTAGTATATATGTATATATAGATCTGTTTTTTATAACCAAACACAGATGGCTTGAGCCATTTTGTACTTAAAGCTGGAGGCCACTTTTCTCATAGGAATTCCTCTGTGGGTTTTGCCAGCCCAGTCAATGTCTTCATACACTGGTACACTTTGTAAGTACAGGTCCGCGCCTGGTGTTCCCTACACTATATTGTAGTCAAATGTACAAAATTTAGCATTAGATTGATTTTTAACAGTTTGCTACTCTCACTTATTTATTTTTCTGCCCCTTTGCTTAATGTTTTTTTCTATTTTGCCATTTTAAGGAGTACCAATTTATGAAATAGCAAGATGTAAATGTATCGGGTTGTTCATGAGATTTCATTGTAAGTAGTATTAATATTAATTCTAACTTGAACGAATCCAGGGTAAGATGAGGTTTTTTTTGTTTTTTGACTTTCAGTAGGAAGATGTTAACACTTGCATGTTTCTATTTAAATACAAATGTATAAATTGTAAATATAACATTTCTTTAAGGGTGAATTTCTACTACAGGTTGACATTTTTATTGAAATTTAAAAATGCTGTAAATACAATTGTGAGATACTTTATGCACATTTTTTCCCCCCCTTCTCTGTGGGCTGTTGTATTCTCTTCTTTTAAGCTGTTACAGATGACATCCCAGTCTCTGAACACTGTATATCAAATTGATTTCTCAGTCCTTTTTCTTACCGTGCTCGTATTTTTTGTGTCCTGCTTCACTGTCTCTCAGTATCATGGTCGCCACATAATCATTAATGTCTCTAGATCCAAGTGCGAATATTTTGTCTTCTCTGTATTTGATATGGAGGCGTGTACTTTTCATGATATTATATTGTTGATCTTATGAGATGGATGGATGGTGTGTACAGCCTGTTATGTAAAACCATGTCTGTCTCGTCTTCATGGGAGAGATGTATTTACTACTTGTTCCTTTTGAACAATTGGTCCAACATGTCTTTTGAAACAGAGGTATTTCTCTACAGGTCAAACCAGTTGTAGCAGTTTATACAGTATGTTGTATAACACCTTTTTTCTAAAAGTCGTCTCTAAAGTGAGACCAGCAGCATACACTATGTACAATAGTCAAAATTGGATTAGTTTTAAGAGAACTGATGATAGAGATACTATATATGATGGATGCAATATGATTAAAGGTACTCCATTGAGTTTGATCTTCAAACTTAGGTTATGTAATTTAAAAGCATTCTTGTGAAGTGAGTATTAATTGTGACTAATGAGAGTCTGTCCTGAATATTCTTTGTATTTTGCCGTAATGAGAATAAAATATATATGGATATGGTTAATGGAGTGTTACCCATCTTATTTTAGCAGCACAAGATAATCAGCTTAATAGAAAGCAATAGTGATATAAGCAGTTGATGCATGCATCTCATTTCTTAACATTTAAAATTGTGTTTAAGTAAATGTGCTTAGTTACATACAACTGATAGGTTTGATTTACAACCCATCCCATATAGTGACTACTTAAAACTCAAGACAGCTGCTGTTTAACAGGCCCAGCTGTGTTTCAGTTCTCTGTGAATAAGTTGCCACCAAGTGGTCACCAGTCGCTATTGTCATTGCTGTCATCCTATCAATTTCAGCATTATGATCGCTTGATTGTCAGTGCAATCGTACATATTTACATTATTATTGCAATACTATCACTTAAACTGCAATAATGACATTGTGAACAGGGAGGCGGGTGACATTGAGTGCTTAATTGTCCTGTTGTGAAGGCTTTCTGGATTGTAATCTAGAAAGAAAGGAAGCCGGCTACAGTTATTTGCAAAAAAAACTAAATAAATAAAGATCCACCAATATGGTAGATGACTTCAAGGTCAGAGTGATAGTTAAAAGATTGTGGAAAAAATGTACAAGGAGAAAATAATTATTGCACTTTTTTTTATTAATATATATTTTTATGAATAATGCTTCTCTTCAAATAACTAGGTGACACCTATGTGATTATAACATGCCCTAATTTAAATTGTAAATCTAACATGTCCCTTAAATCTCCGTTTTAATAGCAAACATTGCCAGCTGGATGAAACAAAATTATTGAATATTGGTGGTCTAGAACAGTGTGAGCGTTTCCCAAGCTTTGTTTCAGGGGAGGCCCGCAGTCTCAGACAAACTTCTGGCCTAGAAGATATCATATTTTGTTCTTCTACCCTATCCAGAATCATCCAAACAGTGCAGCCTCAGTTGTTTGTCTATTTCAATAAGCAATAAATGGTGCTTAGTTAATCATGTGCATGAAACAAAGGTATTCAAAGTAGTTTATATAGCTTTGCATCGCAGAGCCTCTTACAAATGATTAGCTCCTTTCAATCCACATTGCGCTACCCTGAGAGCATTAACTCTTATGTAGACGGTGATGTTTTCTCTTGGCCAGTTTGTCTTTTCACATTTTCTTTTGAGTTTTGTTTTTTGTCAGTTTTTACTTAGTTATCATATATGAAAGATGACAGTGTGAATATTTAATTTGATAAACTACTATTCACTTACATTACATGTCTTGGTCTGCATAGCAGAAAAATGTCACTGTTAGCTTCTGCCTCTTTTCAGGGAAATGAAGAACATCAAAACAATACACAGAAATGCACTGTTCCGCCATTAACACGGACTGCCCAATAAGGTGTCGAGTATTCCCAAAGTGCCCGCCTTCCGCCACCTCTGATTGGTCTACGTGGTCCTCTATTACCTTTCATCCGCTTCTCCCCTCCAGGGAATAAGGTAAGCTAACTGCGAGGGAAGGAAAAGGAAAGCTCATTACCGGTGGATGCGAGGCACACGCAAGGCAGCCACAAACACACACACACACACACACCCACTCAAAGTGAATTTCGCCCACCTGTTACTCTTTCGAGAAGAGGAAACACATCAGAGAGAAACAAGGACTAACAACTTGAAAAACGGGAAGTGAATAAGCAGGTAAGTGAAGAGGACTTTGGTAGCACAGCAGGTGCATCTAGTATCGCTGTGGCTGCTCAGTTTCGGTTGTCAACTGTCAACCTGTGGGTTATTATTTCTTGTGAAAATATTCAGGATAACTTTTTGGAACGCAAAGTTTTTATTTTGATCTTTATAGGTGGTGTTTGTAAAAGTTGTGCATGTCTGGGTTAAAGAAACGTTGTCATTTTATGTGCTGCCACTGCTCTAACGTTAGTCCTTTAGTTTTATTAGTTGTATCTGTTTTTATATCCTAAAAGTGATATTTGCCTTTCTCACCTGTGTGGCTTTTTAGTTTTTCCGTCTGTACTGCATGTTAGGTTCTTCTCAAGACTGTAGTTTAGAATAAATTAGTGCTGAAACATTTAGTTGATATTTTTTAGTCCTAAATATCTCTGGGGTTTTGGACTGTTAGAAGCAAATTTTCATCACATTGGGCTCTGTAAAAGCTGCTGACAGATGAATAACGTTAGATGCTGAAAACTATGGTTAGTTGCAGCCCTGTAATGGATTGTATGGACTGAAGACAGACAGCAACCCAAACCACTGTTTTCATTTAATTGCCATTTTCATTTTCTCTGTGTTGTACATTACTTATTCAATATCTGTTGTTTGGCAGTATTGCGAAAACAACATAGTGTTTTCCTACCTTAACCTTATCTGCTTGCCTCAAATTGATACCTGGCCCTGAATTATGCACAGGAGGGCCTTTCTACCTAAATGACTGGACAATGTTTTATTTAAACTGGAAACAAAAGGCGCCATGGCTGTGGCAGGGTGGCTTTGGTGGAAACCAGACACTGGTGTTTTGTGCTGTGGCTGAAATTGAAGCACTCATGCGGTGCGTTGGTCAGATGGTGGGAGCAGGAGGAGCACACTGGCCTCTCTGTGCGCTGCTGCTGGATGCCCCGCTCAGGCCGCTGACCCGCCTCGACTCCACTGCACCCACAGAGTCTGACCTGGTGGCTGCAAAGAGACCCTTTCAGAGATGTCAGTGCATAGTACACGTGCATGTAGGTGTAATGGATGCATATATAAGCACACAAAGACAAGCGACTCAGCTGCACAAACACAGCAACTTATGTGTGCACAGAGACAAGAGGCTGAGGCAAGACAACCCAAAAGCAATGCATCCACCTTCTACACTTATGTTCCCACGTAAACACCTGTTGATCCAAAAGTCATCTAAAGTTGCGTTGCTTGGATAGTCATGCGCCAATGGATGGTTAAACTAGTCAGATTAAGTCCTGACTTGGCGACACTCTGTGTGATATTTTGACACAAAGCCAAACCATGCAAGCATTTGGCAGCACACACGTTTGGTAATTGTTGCATACAGGTGGTTGTATGAGTGGTGCTGTGTGTTTCTGCAGCAAGATTAAAGAAGAAAGGAACCCAGAAACAAAAGACAGACGCAAACATAAAGGCAACGGCTGTAAAATAAGAGTAGGGGTCATAAAGCCACAGGTCATACATGTAAACTTACCCTGAAACATGAGCTCTTTCTCTGTCTTTTGTGCACTCCCTCTCCCTCTAAGGTAACAACAAAATGTGTGCACTGTATCATTGGTGTGCTGCAAGAAAAAGAAGTTCAACAACATAGAATAAATGTGTAGGCCTGTAGTGCAGTCATTTCAGACATAACTTGGTCATGCTGCTGTAACAATACATGAATCTCACACGAAAATATAGTATACACAGGTTCAAAATAGTACTAGTTTATTGTTTGCCTTGTTGAGGCTTGTCATTTGTTGAACAGTGGAAAATTACTCTTTTGTGTGTGTTTGCGTGTGTGTGGTTTTGACTTGGATGTTGACATTTTTTTAGTGACCTTTTAAACAGCCCACCTCTGCAAGGATGAGCTAACTGGTTTGGCTATGTGGGTATTGTTTGACTCATATCAGATTGTTTCCGTAGCAATAAGCAACTTTGTGGAGGCAGAAATCAAAAGTAATGACATAGTAAAAACTTAGTTTGTGAATATGTTGCTGAACATGATTCAGGTGAAATTGTAGGATTAAAACTGATACTTGATGTCAGATTTAAAAAGCTAATGATAGTCCTGAAACAAAGCAGCTGAAAGGTAGAGAAATCTTTATCAACGTACCTACTGCCTCTGTAACTAGCCAAAATCATCATCACTCTGTATGCTATTTCTTTGAAATGAAGGGGGTCAGGGTGAAATAATAAACAAGGATGTAGCAGGAACGTGTTAGAGTTGTAAATCAGATAACTGCTAGTTGGTTTCTGTTATTTTTTCCCCGTATTGTTAACATTTTCCCGTAATGGGAGTGTGATTTTGTTGTAATTCCACTTCTTCCTTTGTACCTGCATGATGTGAGGCTTTCACTGGCATTGTTTGTTTCAGAGGGGAGAAAATGCTTTAAGGAAAGAGGCCGATGTATGACTCATTCAAAGGGATTGGGAATTCAATAGTGTTTATTTAATGGTGAAATGACTGACTGAGACTCACTGTAATCAGGTACAAGATAGGATTTGTAATGATATTAAATGTGAACCACCAACATGTGATATAGATTTTCAATATAAATCACCTGTTGTGATCAGGTACCAACAGGTTTTGATATGAAGTGTCTTGGTAAGAATGGAAGAGTTGACCATCAGTCCATCAATTCGTAATAGGTAATAAAGTCAGACTATTCAGAATGACATATTGGAGATTTTAGAGATAAGCTCAGGACTTGAAGTATATTTTACTACTTTGTTACATCATGGTGATACTATAACATAATCAATTCAACTGTAGTGATCATGGAGGCTCGTTAACATAATGTGTGGTGTTCTGGTTTGTGAAAGTCATCCTGAGGTCATGCTCCATTTTGAAAATAATCACAGTGGAAAAAGTTGACAAAATGATGGATGCATGAGAGAATGATTGTTACATACTGGTATTCAGGTCAGCTAGGTTGTGTGACATTAATACAGTAACAACAAGGAAGGTCTCTTCAAACATTGATAGCAGATCAGGGTGAATGATTTGATTCTGTTGAGTATCTGAGTAAGAGCACAGAAGAGGAAGAGAGAAGCCTGCTTAAGATGCCATATTCAAGTTAAAATTTCCCCACAGGATTAATAAGTAATATGAAATAATAGAAAGAAAGAAAAAATCAGAGGTCGGTGTAACTAGCAGGCGTGTTGCGAATGGAAACATTAATACGTAAATACCTTGATGTTAAATAGCTTTACCCATAATCAGGATGAAAGCAGCAGTAAGTAAATAATACTTAAACATTACATTATTGTCTTGAGCTAATCGATGAGCTGTATTTTGGGTAATTGCCATTACAGAAATAAAACCTTTTGAAGGTGGTAGTCAGAACTTTTGGCATCACCATCATGTCCAAAATCACCGTAAAGGCTCCTACGGATTATGGTGTTTGTATAGAAGTTACCTCTGCATCTGTATTGTCTAGAAAGGCTTTCTCTGAAGTCTGTTAATCAAAATGAAAGATAGTTGGTTACCACATGAGTAGGCCTAGCAGTCATTTAATGTGTGCTGGCTTTCGTAAATTTGAATACTTTTATGAGAATTATGGCCAAGGGTGGAATGTTTTTTTTAAATTAAACTTCCTGGCTACAAGTAGATGGTAATCAATGATCAATTCTTAACATTTCATCACAGTATATGCTGTATCTGGGCTAACTTTCTGATGGTGACAAAACATTTTTCATTTTGGATTGGCATGGGACCTATCTAACTCTGCAGTGTCCCTCAACTCTACGGAGTGATTTAGCACTTTTCAGGTCATTGTTTTGGATTTCTCTGGTCTGCAGCTTGACTGTTGAATCTCACCACTGTCATCAGCGTTATTTTTATTTACAAAAAAAGCTCTAAAAACCCTACTGAACTCCCCTGTACCAAACAGCAGACAGACAAAGTTGATGGTGAAAGCTTGCCGATCAGAGGAAAAGATTAGCAATTGTCAGTCTGGCAGTGTACAGTGTAGGTCACAGTGTGTCTGTTAATAAAAGTCTGTCTGTTGTTTCCCCAACTACTGGAAAAGTGAAGGCGTATAGTGCTAGCAAACATCTCCCCTGGGATTCAGACTCTAGTCTGGAAGCTGAGCAGAAACGCGAACAGTATGTTTTTTGGCTTCTATGTAATGTTTGCTAAATTTATTGTAAGTAATGTTAATTAGCCACATATATTTTCTACCTAATTGGTTGGATCATTACAAATACTTTACTCTAAAAGTACCAAGTAGTCACACAGTGAGAAAAAACACATCCTGTGTAGGAAAAAAAGATGTATCCACAATCGTTTTAGTATCGCATCGTAGCCTTTTGAATAGTAATTGTATAGTGAGGTGCCTAGAGAGCACACACCCCTTCCTGCCCCCCAGTTAAGTTGGTTTAATTTGTTGCTGTCAGTAGGTTATTTGAAGGTTGTGGATATATTCTTTATTTTTACCAGCACCTGCATGGAACAAGTCGAGTCTGGGTGCACACTTTTCCTCCTCCTCTGACATAGCAGGTGTCCTCCTTGTAGAGATAACCAAGACAGGAAGCGCATGGATTGATTTCTTGTGTGTGGGGAACATAGGCAAAACCAACGCCATCCGACACACTCAGACATTCACAGCCTTTCCAGCTCTCTTTCCCCACCTTTTTATTTAGTGTCTTCTCTTCAGTTGTTGCCTTTTTCTCTTTTTTTACCTGGGTTTGACCATTCACTGGTGTGCAGTTGTGAGTTATTGTCAGATCCTCCCTCTTTTGTCAGTGGAACAGAGAGGCCTCTTCGGGTCCTATAGTGCAGATGGACAAGAAGGTGACAAATGGCTGACACGAGACCCCCTGGGGGCAGGCTGGAAAGTGTGTATGGTTATGTTTGTCTGCCTGCCTGTTCTGGTTATCTGACAGGACCACACCTACACTATTGTATGACCCTACAGGACCCTCACTGGGATGTGGCAGTGTCATATATCATGTGGATATGGATGTGTTTGGTTTGTGAGGGATCT